GGCTCAGCCGGCAGCATCCCGGGCATTCCCAGCGAGCGCCCGCCAGCAGCCCGGCACTGGTTGAAATTCAGGCGTCTTCAGAGAGGGGAGGAAGATCCTCATCTTCCGAAGCCTCCTCAATGAGTGCCAAGCTCTCCAAGGAGTTGAGGCTGTCCCTGCCACCTTGTCTTCTGAACAGGACATCTGCCACCTTAAACACCAGCAGCACCTGCATCACGCAAGTGGGTCAACTCTTCCAGTCCTTCTCATCCACCCTGGTTTTAATTGTCCTGGTCACCCTCATCTTCTGCCTGATCCTCCTCTCCCTCACCACCTTCCACATCCACAAGAGGAAGATGAAGAAGCGGAAAATGCAAAAGGCTCAGGAGGAGTACGAACGGGACCACTGCACCCGCAGCAGCAATAGCGGCAGCCAGCAGCCTGGGACAGGGGTGCAGGGAGAGGCATCCCAAGGAAGAGACAGCCGGCTGGGAAGACCCCCCCAGGACTCGGAGATCCAACGCCCCTCTCCCTCGGCAGCCTCGGGCTCTCAGCAAGCACGGGCTTGTTTGGACACAGCTGGTGCGGGGCTCTTGCAGACGGTGATTTTGTCATGATGGTTTGGGGGAGACCTCACGAAGGCTCTGGTTGGTGTTTGTAAATACCCAAGTGATTATTCTAGTCCCCGAAGAAGAAGAAAACATTGCTAATTCAAATGAACGAACAAGCCCACAATCCAAGCGCATGACAGATCACACTGCGTTTCTCATTGACTGTGTGAGGAAAGGATGCATCTTTTTACTGGAGAAGGAGCTGCACACAGCTACCAAATTTCAAGTCGTCCACCTGGAGGAGAGGGTCGGGGTGGGGGATCCCTTTTTCCCTGGACATCATTACCCTGAGGACCGGGATGATCCCACTCTCTCAGGATTCCCACTGCACCCTATGTCACCATTGCATGGCGTGGTTTAGGGCATGGGTGAGTGGCGTGGGGGGAGAGGCAGGTCTGGCGGGTGTCTTGGGACCCCCTGTTCCATTGGAGAAGGGCAACAGCCCACCCTGTCCCATTTTGTTCTAGGACCTATGTCCCTGTTCCACCCCTCTTGCTCCTTTCCAGGAGTGGATATTGTTTTGTGTAGAAATGGCCACCCCTAGTTGGGCTTAACCACAAGAGCCCTCCCGCCCCACGGGCCCGTGCCCCTCAGCTGCAGTGCTGAGTATCCCACCGTCCAGGGGGGTTGGAGCGATGCCCGAGCTTTCCTCTCCCCTCAGCTCCCCTCATCTTCAAATGCCCTCCCCCATCCCTATCCCCTTGCCGTGGAATCCAGTAGCGTTCTGTGTGGCAGGGCGAGGTGATGTGCAGTAACTGGTCCGTCCTCTCCCAGGGGAGGGTGTCCTTGTACCTTCTGTTGGTCCTGAAGCAAATCCAGTTCTGCACCAGGCACCCCACACTGAATGCCTGCATTTACAGCTTTGCCTGCAGCAGTACAGTGCTGGCTTCTACTGGTTTTAAGCTGGTATATATTTTTAACCCTCCTAATGTAGTAGACAGTTAGGGACAGACCACACTTAATTTTCTTTCCTTTCTCCTTTTGGGGAGCAAACCACGTAGTTGTGCAAAATGTCTGCTCTTAAACCCTATCAAATATTTATTTCAGAAGTGGCTGGTGTAGTTTTTCCCTAGGAAGCACCAGGAGTTTTTTTGTCTGTGGATGGCAGGTGTGAGTCGCTGCTGGTGTGTCTTGGAGGAAGTAGCGTTGGGTAAAGAAAATGTGTCTTTACGTAGCAATTAAATCAATAAAGGTGCCTTAGCAGGGTGCCATATCCAAACTTTGAAACATCTTGTGTGGTATCATAACAGAGGCAGCCCTCTGCTCCTCATGTTACCATCCAAAAAATACAGCAAAGAAAAAGTGACCCCAAGGGATTTTTTTTTTTTCCTTTCTATCCCAGCATTCAGAGTGATTTGAGGAGATAGTAATAGTCCACAGTTTTTAATATTTTATATCCACTTCCCTCTCTGCTGTTCTCTGCCTCTGAGGGGTGGCTGTTAGGCAAGAAAAATCCCAGGCACATGCACCAGGGAGGTCTGGTGCCCTAAGCTGGGAGTGAATGCTGTCAGTCCATTTAAAATGAGAAAAGAGGGTGGCAGAAGTGCTCCATAATCCTCTGACAGCCTAAAAATGCAGAGGTTTCAGGGCAGCGTTTCTCTTACCCTGTTGTACCCCTTTCCAATCTTGCCTGGTCTGACAGGAAATTGGTGTTGAGTTTGGATATGTGCCTCCAGCGTTTCAGGCAAGTACTGTATCACCCAGCTCGAGGAGCTGCTCCGCCAGCTGAGCTTGGCGTGGGAAGCTACCTGCGCCCCAGAGGTGGTTCGCGCATCGCGGTTCGATGTGTGCGATGGCTGGCTCGCCACCAGACGGTACGATCGGATGCGAATGGCTATTTCATTGTTGCTGGGCAAGGAAATTGGCTTTGTTTTGTTTCCCCTAATAAAGGATGCATGAACTTTTGCGTTTAACCTCCTTATGCAACTGCAGCACAGTATTGCACCACAGGGAATAGATTCAGGACAATGAAGGTTGTTCAGTGAGCAGTAATGGAGCTTCCTGATCGTTGATCTCCACTAAATAGAGAGATATTACTTGCCCCTTTATTTTGTGCCTTTAAAAAAAGGAAAAAAGACCCACAAAAACCAATGTATAATTTCGAGGTTTATAAAAGCAATAAGATGTTCCAAATCATTCCAGTGCATTTCTGGTTGATGATTCCACTTCTTTAGTGTCTGAAGTCAGATACTCTTCCTTCTGCCTTATGCACTCAAGGCATGCAATAATTCCCCAGAAGTGTACTGCTTGTCACATCTCATTGCGGTTATAAAATTGCCCTATTTTTGAAGAAAAAAAGAAGGAGGGAGAGATAGATATATATATCTTTATATATATTATAGATATATAGGTATATATACTATTTATACAATCTCATGACACTAAAAGTAGTTGCAAAAATGTACCTAGAACTAAAATGTTACCATGTAAAACTCTATCTTCTGTTTATTAGCTTTGATTTAATATTTTAATATCTCTGTATTTATGTAAATCTGTGTAAAATATGTGGTCTATAAGTAAAATTTCATACTGACTTTAATTTTCTCAGAGCTGTGAGCTTCTTGTGGTGTCATTTAAGGTTTTGCATTTCTGAAGTTAAATTATACAAGATACAAGAAGTTATAAATTCCTATTATCACACAGAAATGCTGCAATAAGGTTCGTACATACTCCCAATGCACAATCCTAACCTGAAGTATTGCAGGCTTATGAGGTTTAATTGAACGGTCTCAGGAGATCTAGCTGATACAAGCAGGACACGTAGGTTTTCATTTTCATGAAACAATAAGCAATCTAGGGAATAAATGTGGATTTTTAAAACAGAGTTTATGCTTGGAGGTTCTGTCAAATCAATTGCTTCAAAACCCTACAGCTACAGCTAAACTTCTGCACTTAGCATTCAGTATTAATAAGGCTGATGCTTCTTTCCCCTCCCCCCTCCTACTTAAACTAGAAAAGTGTAGGAAATTGTTCATATTTCTAAAGCATACATTTTCAGCTAACTGTGAAACTGCCCAAAGGGTTTTGAATATACATATTTTATGCAAGTGTAATATCTATGTATCTGTATCCCTATATTTAAATATTTTTGTGTAACCTTTTCTACGATATTTGATAGAGATGCTGGGTAAATGCTTGTACCACTCTTGTACGTAAGGAAGGATTTATACCCTCTCGATGCGGACATTCTTTTTCCTGTGAATTTGCACTGGTTTCAGCAAGTTACGATGAAGCTGAGTGCTGACTGCTGGAAGAACAGACAGTCTTTCCTCTCGTATGGGGCACATCCTCTGGCTGGATTTTCCTGGTTCTGAGTAAGAAGTTGGGGCTGGTTGCCCGCTAGCATCCTGCATGTGTAAGAATAAGGAGTGCTGTGGCACTCAACAGTTCTGTCTGGTCCAGCCACCATCCTGTGGAAGAAGCATGACAGTAGTGACTTGTTTTGTGGAGCCTCGTGAGAACTGAGATCCCACCGGGCGATGCGGTGGTAGTGCTGGGGCTGGATCAGAGAGTCAGTGATGCCTTATCCTGTGCTCCCATCCTTGGAGCCCGCTGCTGCCCCAGGGCTTCAGCCAGCTCCCACTGGCATCCACAGGAGGGGCTTCCACGGACTGCCGGGGGATTTGGATCCCGCCCGTAGTCCACACGGGGGGTGACAGCTCTCCACACCACATCCCCACGGCTGGCCCTGCTCTACCCACCCTGGCAGCCTCCACGGGGATGGAAACCACCGCATCCCACGAGGGCTGGGGTGCTCCAGCCTGGCGACGCTGGGGAACCTGTGCTGCTGCTGTCAGCTCCGCTTCTATGGACCGAGGCGTTTAGGTTTCTACAGGGATCCTAATGCGGATCATGGACAGGGAATGTCATTTCATTAAAATGTGTCATTCCAGCATTTTTTTCTGTGGGAGTTTGTCTACTGCAAATGTAGTCTTGGATGAAATTTGCAGGCTCTCCATCCAGGCATGTTTCAGCTTTTGATACATCTCTCTCAGACATATATCTGTATATATATAGATATATATCTCGAAAGAAATGCTGGACAAAAAGCAAAGAACAGAAACTCCATATTACAGGCAAAACTGTCCCATGACTAAAAACTGGGGGGTTTTTTGCTTTTATTTTTAATTATTTTAAAAGCTACTATCTTTAATGTAAATAATACTATGTGATTAATGTTTTCCATAGCATTTCTGAGTAGTTGCTATCTTGTTTCTGGAAATCTATGTCCAGTGTTTTGAAGCAACTGTGCTTTTCTTCTTCTATTGTTATGAATATGAGTGCAACTTTTATGTAGAGAGGAAAAAGAACATGATTTGACTGTTTAGACAGGACTGAATTATTTTAAATCCAGTTATAGGACTTAGTTGCTTTTTTTCTTTCTAGTGGTTATTCTCTCTGCACGTTTGTATTTTTTCTATGGGTACTTGAAACCCTACATTTTAATATGTATGCAAGATATGAAGCGAAACGTGAAAAATGAAGTAGGAAACATTCTTTTTCCTCTTTTGTGTAAATAGCAAAATTTATAATGACTTAGATACCATTTGATTACGTTTCTCATCCACATAGATGTTGGCATGACTCATATACAAACCTTTAATAATGCTTTCATTTATGTTAAAAATTAGAACTACTTTTATCCAGGTCTGACTTCCTCATCTCTTTTGGGTATCTAACACTCTTTTTTTTCCCTGAAGCCAAGTTTTCCATCTCATCACTAAATAAATTTCTAGTAGAACAGAGCCTCCTTCTGTTTTTAGTCTTCTACATGTAGGTCTCTGGATTGAATCCAGCCAAACTCAATAGTAGAAAGTGTGTTACGAACTTGCCAAAAATAGATGGAGTCTCCTTGAGGAGAGAGGTGTCTGTCCGACATGCTAACAGGTGAAAAGCCTGGCAATGGTGATAGTTAGGTTTCCCATTTGGAGTTGTGGAAGTGATGCCTCCCCATCCCTTGGGTGGATGTGGGTGAAGGGCAACCCATTCCAGCCACAGCAGAGACA